AGAAGCAACCCAGAGACACTGGGGAAAAAGGTGGCTCCTTTCTGACCCTTCATTGTCACGGGCGGTCAGGGGGCTTCCAAGAGCAGGATTCGCCCTTAAGGAGCTCAGGGCACAGGCCTCCGACTCCAATCTTTTCCAGCCATCATCCCCCCCCGTCCACCCCCCTGGACAGTCTGCCCACCCCACTTCCAGGTGCCTGCAGCAAGAATGTGGGCAAGGCAAACACAGCCAGGAGTGGCTATTTGTTTGAGAGCGATTATGTGCCTCCAAGTCAAACAGAAATCTCCCTCCGCCTTTGTTTTTATCAAGGCAGGCTTGTGCTGATCAAGGGTGTTCTGACCACGTGGTTTCTCTAAAAGGCGGGCCCACTTTCTCAGGTGTACCTATGAAGGGTGCAGGTGTCTCCGAGCGCGAGAGTGGGCTGTGGAGGAAGCACTGCACTGTGTTCTTCTCAGGGACCCCATCGCAGCCCCCCAGCAGAAAACATCAGGACCTCTTTGGCTTCCACCATCGAAAAGCACTGGGGCCCAGACAGACCGCGAGCTGGGTCCCAGGGAACAGCCCCTTTGCCCGCTGCCCCTGCCCAGAAGGTTTGCCAAGCATTGGCTCCGCTCCCACAGCAATGCTCTAAAGGCCTAAGGTGCAACCCGGGCACACGGTCCGGGAAATTATCCAGGCCAGAGGAATCTTCTAAGTTACCTGCCGGGAGCGCTCAGGAACCAAAGCTGCCCAACGTGGAAGTAAAACTTCCCGATGTCCCCTCCGTCCAGGCGTCCCTGTAACTGGCAAGGCCAGGGATCCCACCGCCCGCCAGAAAGGTGGCTTTGAGCCAAAGGGGACCCGAGACGCGGCGCGTTCAGTTGGCGTCCCGGGCGGAAAGCGGCAGAACCCAGCGGAAGCGAATCCCTCCGGCTCAGGGGCCTTTTGGGACAAAGGCGTCGGCTACAGACTGCTGTGCTGGTGACCTCAACTGGGGCCGCCCCCCGCAGACCTCTCTGCTACCCCCAGGAAGAGCGCCCTGCCTCCTCGCATGGGGGCCGGGCGACCCCGAGCCCGAGGCAGACGGCTCGCCTCAAAGGCTTCGGCAGGCCGGGAGAAGGCCGGCCGGCGGGCGGGAGACGGCCGAGAGCCCCTTGGGGCAGCCACCCTGAGGGCCCCGAGGCCCCGGGGAGCCCCGCTTCCAGCCCAACATGGCC